AAGGATACATGACCAGAACATTAAACGGGAACAGCAGACATGCTCTTTGTTCTTTTGGTTCTGTAAGGACAGGTTTAGGCATGCAGAATGAATATTTTTTGATAAAAGGGGATCATTGCAGAGACACTGCTAAGCATTTTTAATGTATTCATTGATATTGAATGCTCATTGTACATGGTAAAGCTGATTTTTGCTGTCCTCCTTTAAAGGCATTATGTCAGACATGCACATAGTTCTTAAATAAAAGCTCATAAAAGCTCCGGAGAACATGACCGATCGGCTATAAATCTCCTGACTTCCCTCACTTTTATATTCTATCTACGTACAACATAATGATCACAATGACACATCTGCAATATTTCGATTTCTTTTATTGTTATAATTTAACAGTTCAATTGTAAATTAATCGTTTGTCTAGTATAATCAAATTATGACCATATAGTAAATATCAGTTCAAGAGTAAAAAGGATTCCCCTGTTCCTTTGCCAAGGCTGCCATCAGTGCCAGTGAGCGTACGTGTTGCATATAAATGAAGCAGGTTTAAAGATCATTGCTTCTCATGAGTGTGTTTAATGTTTCTCAGCCTTGGATTTTTCCCTCTGCAGGTTACATCCTCTTTCTCCATGCCTGCAATCCTGGGAGCCTGTCTTAAATCTGCACACGTTGGATGTTATATGCCTTCTACTGTGCGCATTTTAGCTCCTGCCACGATGAAAAGCCTCATCCTAAATCCCTGCTTGTTACGTGCATGAGATCTAAAGCCCGATTTCAAATAAACCTTTCTTCACTTTCTTCCCCCCTTTCTTCCTGTTTTTCTGCATCACTGCCTCTCTCATCCTCGTCCCTGTTTCTTTTTAATTATTTTGGTCAATCACTCTGAGATTAACATGTACACCGTGTGAGCTAGAAAGCGTGCTGAAATTAAACTTCCTTGTAATTTATCATGCACTGGTGATCATGCATGCATTAACATATAGAGTTATCAGTCTCTCTGTTTGTGCTGCTGTGAATCTGGAAACCTTGACATTGATTTATGGCTGTATGTCTTTGCGTCATCTATAGGCACACTTTAATATGTGGCATGACAACATAAGCTTAGACTTTGCATATGTGGCTGTATGTATTTCCTTGCAAAGAAATCTGTGAAATAGTTTAACATTTTTTCAAGTTTAAAACACAAACTGGAGTTTGTTTTAATGATTGAGGAACAGAAAATTATAAGTTGCTGGGAAGTGGATTGACAATGATAGATGAGTTTCAACATTTTTCACATAAAAAAGGTAAAAGTGTGGTGTGTAATTGCATTCAGCCCCTCTCTAACACCACATTTTATTATAATCACAGCCACTTTTTAGGGTATGACTTTACAACTTTCCAAGGATGAGGCGTTTTATTGTTGCAGGAGCTAAAATGCACACAGTTGGTTTAGAAAACAAATGTTTACCATATTCTTATTTCTTTTCTAGACTTTGAAAAAGTCTTTCTGACTTATAACTACTAGTGGCATGACCTTGGTTGTTTGTTTTGAGTCATTGACTTACTGGAAGATAAACCTCTGCTCCAGCCTTCAGTTGTTGGGAGACTTTTCTTTTAAAGCCTGAAGAAGGACAGAAAGATCCTCCACCACCATGTTTCTTAAGATAGTATTCTTCAAACTTACTATTTTATTTTCCATTATATCTCTCTTTCTATCTATACTGTATACATATATCTCATTTTAGATCTGACCTGACTGAATTACCTTCTGCCACATTTGCTGTTTTCTATACATTGCTTGTGAGAAAGCTTTACCCACAGAGAGAGTTCTGATGGACTCACGCAGAGCTGTAAATGGAAAGAAACATCCTCTGAACCCAAAACATCTGTAATTGCAAACCAAAGTGGGTATGATAAACCCCACTATAACTGGTAAGTAAAAAAGTCAAAACAATCTAAGGATTTATCAAATTTCCAATGTAAAAAGGGTATCAAGTGTCAAAAAGGGTAAAAGGTAAGAAAAAATCAAAAAGGGATGAGTAAATAAAGAGAACAGTTCCAACTGAGGACCAGTTGGTGGTGCATTTTGTAGCATTGATGCCCTCCAGCAAAAGGTCTTCTATTCTATCCTAGGTCTGGGGTCTTTCTGCATGGAGTTGGGATGTTCTCTGTAGTCGTGGGTTCGTGATCAGTAGTCTGGCTTCATCTCACAGTCCAAAAACATGACTCTGCACTCTAAGAATAGATTGGTTGGAAAAAAACAAGCAATCTAGTTGGTTAAACAATTTTTGGTTAGATTGACCAATATGTTGGTCAGAAACTGGCCATGCTTTTGGTTTTGGATCAATTAATTTATTTGGTTAACCAGACAACTCGACTGTAGTCAAGTGCAGTGTGTAATACCACATCAGACATCATTTAGACGTTGTTTTTTAGGTTAAATCTGGTCGATCCGTGATGGTCTTGTTTTAGTTCCAAAATCATTGTTGAAAATTGGGCTGTGTTTGGTTGTTCTGATTTTGTCATGCTTTAGTTTGATAATTGACATTGAAAAGACGTTGCAAGCTCTGTTTTCAACATCTTTTCAATGATCTGAAAATTACGGCTTTTCACCTTTCACTTTACAGCGTTGTTTGGATGTAAATCCTGTCATCTTACAATGTCTTCTCAACCCATTTTTGCTTGGTGGGACAGCATGCAAATTAGCATTAACCGTAGTTGTAATATTAGTATTAACTGGTATTAAATTTTCCTGGAGATGTCAGTCTTGACAGGGCTGTTGGATGTAGGAGTTTAACTTTTATTCCAAGGATTGTTGGTTCAAGCCAAGTAGCTATACTACTTAACCAACATTTTAGTCAAAGTGACCAATTTGTATTGGTTTACCATTTTACCAATATACAATTTGTTAAAAGCGCTACCAAAGTAGATTAGTTGTTTGAAGCCAGTTATTGGTTGGACATATAACTACCAACCAGTTTGGTAAAATTCAACCATTATTTTGGCTTTATTGACCAATCTGTTTATAGAGTGTAAGTTGCCATGTGTGTATGTGTTTGTGTGCATAGGTGTGTGTCTCTGTTTTGCTCTGCAACAGACTAGGGACCTGTCTAAATGTTCTTTTTTTTAGACTATTGTATTTATCCATCTTACTTGACCCTGACGGACAAGAGGCGGAAAAGGGGTGGATGGTTTTTACTAACTGCAACAGCTATAATTTTCATGTTCTTGGTGCTGATGACTGGCTTGATTATTCATTCAATTCTATTCTATATTGCCAAGCTCTGCCCAGTTTTCCATCAAGTTTGAAGACTTTTCGCTTCCCATCCAGGAAACTTTTACAATTCAAAAGTTTCTATTTAACCACCCTGTTTCCAGTTATCAGTGCCAGATTATTCTAGCCCTTGGTGAGTTTTCTAGTGTACCTTATTATGTTCTGATTGCCCGATCCTAACCCGTTCTGCCCCTAGACCTCTGAACCTGCCTGTTCCTGCTCTGATCTGTTTGCCTGACCTGTCTTTGGACTCCTGCTGGATTCTGCCAGTTGATGACTCTGGATCTGTCTCCTGATACTGACCTGGATTTAGTACCTCTTCAGATCTCTGAAGGCTCTGGACTCCTGGGAACTTATTTGATACCGGCTTTGGCTTCATCCTCTGAATTATCCTGCCTTTCATCTTTTGCTTGGATATGATCTCCTGTCAGTTCTGCTGTCTTCAAGACTTCAGCATCTGGGACTCACTGGGCTGAGTTTGTCACGTCTTGTTGGCAGTCATTAGACTAGAATCCACCTCTTCTTCTGGGCACAGACTGAACTGTAAGACCAGGTTGGTGACTCACATGTTCGTTATCATCCTTAGTCAGATTAACATGGTAATTAACCTGTTTCCCTCCTGCAAAGGTTCCTGCCTTAGATGTCCTAGCTGCCCTAGCTGCCAACGGAAATCTGTTGTTTTTAAATAAATGCTTTATGAGTAATCTTACTGTCTTACTTTCCTTGAGTATTGAGTCTTCTGATCTGAGCCTTGACAATAATTTGGTGTCGAGTTTAGAACCTAGTGAACTAAAAGGAAATAAAAATGCATTAATGTGAAATTTAATGAATTGGTTTCTAAAGTTAAGTATCCTGCAACAACAATTGTTTTCTTGCCAGTGTTACCTAAAGACCAAATTAGACGTATGGCAGATATTTTTGTGCTGCTTCTCCAGAAATGACAGTGTTTGGCTATTTCACCTTTGTGGTCTCACTTAAATCTACACTGCTATGGTTTGTATGTTAGCATAGTCCTCCGACTTTTAGATGATGGACTGAACAAAGCTCTGTGACTTGATCAGAACTTGGGTTTTATTGCCCAATCCTGTTTAAAATCCCCATAACTATATCTTTGATCAGACTGCTGTGTCTTCATGAGGCTTTGGTCTTTGACAAATCTATGACAATGAAATTAGGCTGAGATTAATGATATAGGTGGACCGAGTTTACTTTTCAGGGGACTTCTGGAGGCGACTGGTTGAAGTGAATTAGGAAGTGTCGGAGTTAAGGACAGACTTTAGAGCTGTTTGTCTTTGAATTTGAAAACCACTTTCTATTCAGTAATCTCATTCAATTATGAACTCAATAAATTTTATGATTCCTATAAAATCACATTAAAGTACATTATAGCCTGTGACTGTAACTGAACAAAATATGAATACATTCTAAAGGTATGCATGTATTGTAGCGCTTGTGTTGGGGAAAATCTTAGATTTAAAAAAGGCTTTTTCAATAAATGAGAATAGTTTAAAAAGATCCAATAATTTAAACTTCATTTTTTTTAAAAGGATCTTGGATGACCTGAACTGTAAGTCACACTCTCTTGCTAGAAAATGCCTATAACCTGGGGACCATGCGTGTAAAAGGATGTGTTCTGTTAGAACACTCCTGCTGTGTTTGCTCATGCCTGCCTCCATCTCTCGCCCCCTCACTCAGTCTCAGTATTAATAGGCTGGATCCTGTCTAAACCAGAGGACATGCGCGTTGGAGGAGAAAGGGAAGTGCTGCTCGATGTCCCAGCTAGATAGATGTTTACTGTTGTCTCCATAATCACTCAATCATGATGCAAAATTGATCTTCTGAACGTCTGTTTTAGAGTGACAAAAAACAACAACAACCGGAGGAGTCGTTTTCTTTCCCAGTTTAGACTGTTATCAATTTTTGAACACTTTGCTGCATTTGGAGCTTTTACTGTTCTGCGATTAAGAAGTGTTAATATTGGACTTTTTTTTTTTTTTTTTTTTTTTTGCCCGTCCCCGCCGCCAACCTGAAGTTCATCGTTGTTATTTTGGCCGCCGGGATGGTGGCCTTCATCGGAGCGGTTATCTGCATCATCGCCGCGGTTCACACCGGATCCTCCAAGTCTGCTGCTGGTCAGCGACAGCCCGCTGCCGATAACCACTCTCTGTATCCGGACGCCGCTGCGCAGACCCCCGCTGCCGCAGGGGGCTCTATGGCCCGACCTGGATCTCTGGGAGCTCTCCATGGTTCTGAAACCCCCGATTCCGAAAAGCCAACCTTTAACGTTGGCCTCGGTGGCCTGGACGGGGTCAGCGGACTCACGGGACACGACCCCACGGTCAGCCGACTCATCTGCACCCCGGTCCCCGCCGGAGGGTGTAACACCAGGAACTTTCAACAACAAGCGGATGATCCATCGCTGTACGCCGGGGAAGACTGGGGATACCTCCGGACCACGGCGGAGGAGCTCCGTCAAACCGTTCTGCAGCAGAAGGACCAGATTTTAACTGACCAGAGGACCATCACGGAGCTGACAGGAAAGCTGTCTGAGTGCGAGAAGGGGCTCGGAGGCAGGAGCATCCTGGAGAGACGCGGGAACCCCTCCGCGCTGAGAGGCGAGCTGCACTTGGAGCGGATGATGGTTCGGGACAGCCCGGACTCAGCGCCAGAAGGGGTCCATCTGCTCACGGTTGGAACCGTGGATGAGCTTGAACAAGCCATTATTCAACTAAAAGACCGTATAGATAAACTGGAGGTAAGCAAACATGTAGAAAATACCTTAACAAATCGCACACCAATGAAAATCTGTTCCAATTAACTAATCATTCAGATATACAACTATGTAGTTTTTTCCTAACCATAACGCAGTTTATTCCAAGTCATTGAAATCAACGAGATTAATCTAAGGAAGCTCTATAAACTGGCTGACTACACATTATTGCTTTATAAGGGATGCAGTGGACAGTGATGTCTGATCACCAGTTATAAAAAGCTCCATTTACAGATTTTAACTAAATCCCATTGCTTTTTAAGGTTTCTACATAAAAATTGGTTGTGTTTTTTTCTGAAAAAAAAAAAAAAAAAGAATATTTATGGACCTCTTAAATAAAATAAAAAAGGTAAAGGAAGTGCAAAATCTCAGTTTTCTATCTGAGGATAGCTGAAAATCTAATGCAGTAAAATCCTGCAGGTTTGTGTACTGAGGTACCTATAAATAAAGTACTAAAACATATTTAGAGCTGATTTGTTGTTATGCATACATTATTAGAATTGTAATTCACTTATTTTAGGTAAAAAGAAGTGTTGATTATCCTTTTCTGTAACAAATGACCATTTGTATCGTTGAAACTAGAAGCAGATGCAATGGCACAATATGTGTGTAGAAGAGCAGTTGCTGTAATACAGCTTTGAATGAAAAATGGATTTCACAAAAAAGAAAAAAGGATTACAGTTCGCATTATAAGCTGCCTTAAGCAGAAACACAGAATTAGTCATAAAAATGATAATGTTTTGAGTGATCTTAAACTCCCTGTTCTCTGAGACTTTGCTGTATTAGTCTGAATCAAAATCAACCATCAATCACCTGTATTTTTTTTTTCTGCAAGTCTATTTTTTAAAGGGTATTCTCTTACATCAGTTCTTTAATTTGTCACTTTTGGTTAAGTTGAAATCAGGCTGACCAAATTAAAAAGGACAAAATCAACCAAGATGGTTTGTTTCATTCACTCTTGTTCCTCAACAATTGATCTAAAAACGCAAGAATTTGTTTGCTTGTCTGTTTGTTTTTTCGAATTTCCAAGTGGGCCGGTTCTGATCTTAAATCAGTCTTAAAAACTAAGCTGCATATGTTATCTTCTTTGCCCATATGTCCTGTCCAAGTTAAACACAAATATGTAAAGGCAAGATTGGTTAAGTCATTACATGAACCTTATGTTTATTTACAAACATATTTTCACTTTTTTTAAATGTAGCAACATCTTTTTTTTATGTCTCTTCAAATCAATTTACTTACTGGGAAGTTTTTTGGGGCTTGTCCAGGATTTTCTATATTTCCTAATCCTAGGGGCAAGGTAGTGAAAATTAAATGAAAAAAATATATAAGACTTTATGAAAGTAGGGAGAGGAGCCTAGCTGAAAACATTAACCCGAGTCTGTGTTTCGTCAGACATTTTAACATATTCTTAAACATCTGACAGAAAGCTGTTATTGGAATTCAGTCCTGCGTCATAGAGTTCAACATTTTTCCACAAAACAATTTAAGTTAAAGGTATAGTAGAGGATTTTTGCAAAATTTTGAAAAAAGACCTGCACTATTAAATATGTGCAGGAGCATGCACAAGCCCATTTCTCCTTGTGCACGTTCTGTTTAAAAGTTGCTCATAGAAGCTTACTTTCCAAAAGTATATTTGTAATTTTGACAAATTGTGAAAATGGGGACGAGCATGTAGGGCGGCCTTACGTAAACATATCACCAGAATTATTGACAATTAGGAGAACCACTTATTTTGATCATCTACCTGGAAATAGAAGATCCTTCACTATACCTATAAGTTAAGACAAATGGAGTACAGTGGTCTAATTTAATGTCATGCTTAGCCAGTCCTTGTCTATATTTAACTGACAGAAATGAGTTTTGAAACATTTTTTTTTAAGGCATAAACATCCTGTTCAGCTATACAGGCTAGCATCTTAAAAGCCACCCCATTTTGGGAAATTCTCGCCTATTTTGCATAACCAAATGGAAAAGCAAATAACTTAGTAATTGTAAGCCCAAATTAAATGTGGATTATTTGAAAGCTAAGACCTTCTAGCTTCTGAACATATAAATTAAAATTGGGTGAGTAGAACACAGACCAAGATGCATCAGTTCAAACATGACTCAAAGTTGTTTGTTTTTTTTGTCGAAAATGATAGGTCTGTTTTCAACAGCAGTAATAAAGATGCTTGAGAAAATGCAGGTCTTAATGTGTTAAATTTGTTCCACATCATTTCAACCACGAATGCAGAAAACTTCCGACCTCTAGCTACATTAGTTCCAAAACTGTGGGGCTTTGAACTTTTGGTGTCACCACCATCTCCATATCTCTCCAAATGTGCAAAATTGTGCCGTATGCTTTTACTATGCTTTGCTTTACTATTTGACCCATAGAATAACAGTGAAGCATTTTGATGGCCACAAAACATTTATGAAGCAAGTGTTTCCACTTTTTTCAGAATCAGTGTATAGAACAAAATGTAACATTTTAACACCCATAACATAAAAATCTATAAAAGATAGTGAAACTGCTTCTTTTAAAGCTAAAACAAGCCCCAGTGCCTTTTCTGAGCTGTATTTCCTTTTTTGTTTTCAGCCTTAGCCATTGTAATAAAACAAAAACCAGTGTCCAAACTTCAACAAAATTGGACTGTTGTTATTACTCAGTTTTGAGCTGTATGCATTGACCCAGCTGGAGCTGTGCGTTTCAGGCTTACACAAGCCGCTAAAATGGGTCTGCCTTTTATAACCTTGCCATGTGTAGGCTTGATTGAAACCTTATTTCATTGGCTACAAAGTCCAACAGCCCAGGTGTTCTTAACCAATAACAGCAGGACTCTATGAGGCATAATATTGCTCAACTCGGTGTGTCACTGGCTGACAGGAAGTTACCGGAAGTGAGATTTCAGCGACTGTATCTGGCTCAAATTACGTCATAAAGTGCGGACACTTGTAGGTAAGAACACGATGTAACCATACCAAACATCATGGACAGATCAAATAAGTATTAGGAAATAAATATTAGCAAGATGCTGAGCATTAGTTATGACCAGCTAACTTTCCTGATGTCAACAACCGGACAATATGGGCGATCTTCTTATCATGGAATATTTTTATTACGAATATGCTGGATTACTTTTGATCTGTGGACCCTTATGGATGAATGGATCCAATTGAAGATTGGATTTATAAAATCTCGATGCCTTCAAAGCTATGTAGTTGTGGCTGCTTTGTCACGTTTACATTTTGACATGCTGCTATGTCTGTGTTAATTGTGCTTTGGTGCTTTCTATGTCCTTTCCAACGATGTATAACATTTTACTGGTGGAATTTTTATGCATTCTGAGTTATTAGTTGTAAACGCTTTAAAACGCGCCGGCGACCCAGTGGCTAGACGGCCTATGATAGACAATCTTTACAGGTCGGGATTAGTTTATCCATGTGATCAGCCAAAACTAATCTAACACCAACTTTTTATTGACAGTAAAGTTCTTTATGTGAATATCTTTTTACAGTAGTTTTCAGCCTATTTTCCTCGGTTCTTTTTAAAAAAAATATATATATATGTTCAGGCTGGATTTCCCTCAGGCTCATTCGTCGTTCCTTGTATAGTTGTAACCCAGGCTGATATAACCAAAGAAAAAAGGTAATGTTAAAAAGATGATCTTTTGTAGCTGATCCTAGGTGGCAAACTTCAAGATGAGACCCTTAGCCCCGCATCTTGTCAGCATTGCTTATGTTCAGCTACAACAGGCCTACAAGAAACTGGCTCTGACTCACCCAGAATAAAGTGATTTATAACCCCACTTTGGGCAAAAGAAATGCAATGCATAATTCATAGCATGCCTATATTTGTTAGGAGTAACAGAGTGGATGTGCGTCCCTGCAGTGTAATACGCCTTTCTCTGTTATATGTAGGACGTGCCTGTGTGGGTCATTTCCTTTGTTCAGTCTATTTCTTTTTCTCTTCCAACCCACAACAACCTGTAAAATCAAACTTTGATACTTTTCAGGAAATAAGGAATCCCTTTATACTGCAGTCATTTCCCAAGACAGCAGGTCACAAACATCAGTGGTTTTCACAGGTTTTTCTAGGTAGTTGGCTGCATTTCCTTTTTAATCAACACCTTTTTCCTCTTATGTTGTCTACATCAGGTTTGTATGCAGGAGCTGCTTGACCTACTTGAGAGGCATGAATGGATGTTGTCTACTGGCTCAGATTTAACTGGGCTAGTCTTTTTTTCCTCTATAGGGTTGTCTGTAATTATTTTGCTGATCATGCACTGACTACTCTCAGCGCCTTCTAGCTTCAAGCACTCATGCTGCATCTTACGATTTCAACTCGGTAATAAGATCAAATTCACATGTAATACATTCTACACACTATGTTCACTTTTAAAATCTTTTTTTACTGTTTTGTTTAGCGTATGTCTTTTTTTTGCCTATGAGAAGAAAATCATGTTAAACACATTGTCATGCGTCCCGTATCTGTTTCCAAACAGAAAAACAGCCTAGGTAGAGGGTATCACAATATAAGAATTAAGTGCTGTATTTGATCCTGGGTGTAAACAAGTTGCATCATTTATACATGTAAAGATGCTATGGGTGTTTAAAAAGCCTTGCATTGCTGATGTGAAATGTTGGTTTGTGGAACATTTCTAAACCTACAAAGACAAACTGAGAAGTAAGTCAAGGAGAGGATTAACCAAAACAGCCACAAGATTCCATAAAAACTTAAGAAACTGTAGACATGCACAGCTTAGGTGGTAGAATGTGTTGCCGGGATAACTATTACATTACACTTCTCATATCCAACCTTGAAATGATAAGAAGAAATGCTGCTGACAGAAAACCTAGTGCAACTCAAAAGTCATGTCAGGGACACGGCAACCAGATGGACCAAAAAACTTTTTTTACCTTTCATTATTGTATATAGCAAGAAACAATAAGATTTCACATTACTCCAACTACACCGTCCAAGTGGTAGAACACGTAGTGGCAGCATTATGCTGTAGGGCTGCTTTTCTTCAACAGGGACATGGAAGTTGGAAGAATGCAGGTGAAGGTCGGTGGGACAACATACAAGTTTAGTCTGGAAGGAAACAAAACTGTTAGAGGCTGCAAAACACTTTAGACTGACTTGAAATTTTAGCTTTCAGCAGGACATTTAACCTAAACACACAGCCCCAGCTAAATGAAGGCATTTTCATACATTAAAATGACCCAAAAATGTCTCTAGATGAGCAAAGCAGGTAGAAGGACTTGCAGCTGTAAGGAAGGTGACAACTGTTTATTTTTTATTCATGAATTTTCATTATGAATAAAACACAAATTAGAGAAACCTGAATTTACTTTAGTTTCACAACAATGTATGACTTAATATAAATCTGTCACAGAAAATATGGACAAATACATGGAAATTGTGTAGCCATGATTTAGCAAAACATGAGGAGTTTAAAGGGTATAAATACTTAATGCACATCAACACAGCTCTGCATCTTAATCAGCCTACGAGGGTATCCACTTTCTAATTCAGATGATTGTCCTCATCTTGGCTCTGCTATTCTGATTGAGATCAAAAACACATTTGGTATCGTATCATAAAGAATTTTACAGAGAGCTAAGCTCCTGTAAGCCCCTTGGTGCAGCGTAAAAGATTAAAACACCATGAAAGTTTAGAGCAATGGTTTAACATTTAGAGAAAGGTGCAGTGATGAACCCCTCCCTCATACCAATCTGTTTAGTATTAAAGAAGATCTCAGTTACAACAGCTGCACGAATAGGCAGCAAAATTTTTCCTGTTTAGTGTTTGTGACAGAGCACTGTTATCAAATCTGCAGCGACAAGCCTTCTTATAAAAATACATGTCTTCTAAAACATATTTTCAGATGAATCTTCCCGAGTACAGGAAAACTGTGGTAAATCTTTCCCTTTATTATCATCAGGTTTAATGTAGAGAAATGCAAGAATGCAGGGAAATCCCAACTGCTATTTTAAAATGCATCAAATTGTGTCAAATAAAAAAGTTAAACAAACACTCCTGTTGAATACATCCTGTAGTGGTTGCATAGTGGGCCTGTAAAGCCCAAATTCTGATCCACTCTCTATCTCCCTCCTCCACAGACAGACATTGGTCCGTTTTCTCACAACCGCACAGACAGCAAATCCTCAGAAGCAACAGAGGAAGATGGCCCAGGGAGGTCAGCTGAACTGGGGCGCAGCGTCGGCTGGGAGATGGATGACTTGGAAGGAGAGCTGGAGAGGAAGGTGGAGCTTCTGGGGAAGGAGAGAAAAGCCCTGAGGCAGGAAGCAGAGAAACACAGACAAGAAATCGACCACAGCATCAGTAAACTGCAACACAAAATGTTAGGACTGGAGGAAGGTGAGGCGTAGAAGGGGGAGAAATAAGGAAGCAAAAGGGTTTATATTGGACTGACTGATGAGATATTATATGGAATATTTAAAGTATAAATCAGATTTGGTTATTTTGTAAAGAAAAAAAAAAAGACTATATAACTAAAAAAAAAAAATAAAACAATGGAATGTGGAATCTATTCTTTTGCATTTAACATTTTCACAGGTGTTGCTGGGCATTCCTTCCCCGAAGGCTTTAGGCTGTCCTTCCCAGCTCGGACCAACTACATGGTTGCTCTTATGAGACACTCCATCCCGAAACTACGGTCCTTCACCGCCTGCCTGTGGCTGCGGCCGGCGGGCGCGGGAATCGGGACCCCTCTGTCTTATGCTGTCCCCGAGCAACCCAATGAGTTGGTGCTGCTTCAAGGCCTGCACACTCCAACTGAGCTCCTCATCAATGACAAGGTATGAAACACGCACAGGGACAAAAAAAGTTAAACATCAACTGCTTTGAAGGGGGCATCAACCAGAATGATAATCTTTAACAGAGAAATCATAGTTTTATATTTTTAACACAAAGAAATATAAATGTACAGTATATCCAACATAGATTTTTTTTCTTTTAATACATTTGGTTGTTCTTTTATTTTCTTCTACATCTGTCTATCCTTGCCCCCAAACTGTCAGCATTAACTGTCAAATCTATTTGAAAACACTAATGAGGACATGGTGAACTGTGTCAGAGGAAACTTAGTGCTGCTAAAGACATGTCAGGATTTTCTTTAGAGATCCTGTCAGTGTTATAGAAACTAACATTGAGAGCAATTTAGTCCTATAGTGTCCTTTTTTATAATAGTTTAAGTTAGACTTTAATACGATCTACTTGAGTTGTTTGGTAGGGAAATGTTTTACCTTTTTTATTATTTACCAATTTCAGTTGTCTTTAAATCTGCTGCAAGTAATACAAGCTAATCATGTAAAAGAATCTCCCTCTGGGATTATTAAAATATTTTTAATTGAATTTAAAACATGCTGCTCAGTGGCGCAGTGGGTAGCATTGCTGCCTTGCAGCAAGATGGGTTCTGGGTTTGATTCCCGGCCCGGGATCTTTCTGCATGGAGTTTGCATGTTCTCCCTGAGCATGCGTGGGTTCTCTCTAGGTACTCTGGCTTCCTCCCACAGTCCAAAAACATGTCTGTTAGGTTAATTGGCTTCTCTAAATTGTCCTTAGGTGTGAGTGTGTGTGTGTGTCAATGGTTGTTTGTCTCTATGTTGCCCTGCGGTGGACAGGCGACCTGCCCAGGGTGTACCCCGCCTCCCGCCCATTGACTGCTGAAGATAAGCAGCAGTTCCAAATAAGAACCAAACCTGTGGCAGGTGGCTCCATAGAAAGTCAAGCACAAATCAGTGAAAAACACAGAAAGGCTTTTTACACAAAGGATCATCTTCCTTTGCAGTAATAATGATAAAAGGATGATGTTTTTGTTGTTGTCGCATTTAAATCAACATGAATCACTAGAGATAAAACATTGTTTTATAATTAAAATACCATCTGCTTTGTTATATTAGATTATTTCTCTGCAATCAGCTAGCGTTGAGTTGCTAACTGTGTGCATAGGAGGCTCCAAATGATATTATCATTCCCATCTTACAAGAGTACTCACATAAAGGTCATTGTTTCATTTTTGATTATTACTTGATGTGCAAATCAGCGAGGTGTTAAGGCTATGGTCTCATTCATAATGTGTTTATGAATATTAAAGAAGGCCCTATGCTTTGCATTTGCATTAAAGTAATAAAAGGCACGACTGATAAAGTGTTTCTCTGATACATCACTCCTGCATTTTAATGAAATACTCCATTTGCTTTTTGAAAGCATTTTGTTAGGTGATCCAGAGCAGCACTGTGATTTTTGGTTTAACTTTTGGAAAGCTATTGAGTGAGCACTGGGGAAGTGAGACTCCTGGATGGCAGCAGAATGGCTGAAAGAATCTAAATAACTAAATTAGATCAAAAAAACTCACAGAAAGAAAATACCAGATATAATATCATAGTAATGATAGAATATAGCTGTATAATGATATGTGTAGACTAAAAAACAACCCACCCCTATTTATATAGGTGGCGAAGCTGCCTCTGAACCTATCTAAAGGGAGCTGGCAGCACATCTGTGTGAGCTGGACCCAGAAAGGTGGAGCATGGCAGGCCTTCCAGGGAGGAAAGCTGAGGGGTGAGGGCCATGGATTGGCCCCTGGACATCACATCAGACCTGGGGGACAACTAATCCTTGGGCAAGAGCAGGTGAGTTAGAGTTATGTATATTTATAAGACCAACTAAACAAAATAGTTTATTTTTTATTGATTTAGTCTAGCAGAGGTAGGCAGAAATACTCTGCAAACCAGCTGTTAATGTAGCCATGAGACCTAGATATTTCTTCAAGTCATAACCTTTCTCTGTCAAATTTTGCTTAAACTCACACAGAGCCAAAGGGCTGCCCAGGGTAGGAAGACTGTAGAAACTGAGTCATGTGTGTTTGAGATTTAAAATGTTTCTCTTTTTAAGTGATCTAAATTTCTAACAGGGGTCAAATCTTTCTTCAGGACACGTTAGGTGGAGGTTTTGATTCAACCCAGGCTTTGGTCGGAGAGCTGTCTCAGGTTGGCCTCTGGGATCGGGTTCTGTCTTCTGCCCAGGTTGCCAGCTTGGCTCGATGCAGCAGAGTAACCCAGGGTATTGTGGTCCCCTGGAACGAAAACGGCGTTGAAGTTTACGGCGGAGCCACCAAAGACCCAGGAGAGCCTTGTAGTAAACACAGCAAAACCCTCAGTGACTGATAAAGAATGGAGGGAAAAGATGAATTCTAACCAGTATAATCGCTGAGTCAGAATGTGACTAAGACAATAAATGAGGCATCAAGGGAAATAATATTTGTTCATATTGACGTAAAGCGGGTACAAAGTTTGCAGTAACTTCATAATCTTAACTGGATCTCCAGAGATTTTATGAAGGTAAAAAGATGCTTTCCAGCATAATAAAAAATTTCTACATAAATAAAACAGAATAGTTGATATTGTTTAATTAGGTGAAAACAGAATCACAGTTTTCAATAAATTCTTCTAAATAGCTACTGGTTTACTATTCAGACAGCCACAAAGTGAGTCAAATATTTTAATATTTAAAATCTTCACTGTAGTTTTCAGATACAAAATATAATTATCAAGAATTTTGTCACTTTTTTAAAGTAAAAGAGGTAAGCTACTGAAAAAGCATTATAGTCAGCACCTTTCAATCAAGTTAATTGTAGCGTGCTAATGCTAACGTTAGCCCGCTTATGTTAATTTCAGGCTTATTAAAATCTCTGAGCATAGTAAGAGTTTCACCTGCCTGATAAGTGAGATTATATAAATAACTAGGAAAATGTGAAAACAAATTTTATTTTAACCCACTTTAAACAAAATAACCGTAAAGCAAAAATAAAAAATATAAACTAAGCCACGTCTCTAGCTTTTATTTGTTTGTATAAAAACAAGGACTCTAACACAAGTTTACTTTGACATGGAAAATATAGAGGATTTTGGTAACATACACACTATGCATCACATTATGACCACTGACGGGTGAAGTGAAAAATGTCGGCTTTCTCTCATGCCGCCTGTCAGTGTCTGGGATGCTAAGCAGCAAAGTAGATTTGCTCCTGAAAGGTGGTGTCATTGAAGAGGGAAAAAGGGGCCAGCATAATGGTTTAAGCATTTCTGACAAAGGGCAAATTGGAATGGCTGGACAAGTGGGTCAGAGCATCTGCAAAGCTGCAGCTTTTGTAGTGTTCCCAGCCAGCAGTGCATATCAAAGATATTTGAGGAAAAGACAGAGTTGAAAAAGCATCAGTGTCATTGATAGAGAAAGCAATATTGCTGCAGATAGTGACTTAAAGGGGTCATAGAATGCAAAACCGAGTTTACATGATCATAGATAAATATGATAGATCAGAGGGTGAAATGGACGTACAGAGAAGTTCAAACCCCATCGACACCTCCTTTCTCTGCAAATCTCACAACTCTAAACTTCCATCACGCTACTGGTGGAAATCTACCCTGCCGGTGTATAGTCGGGTTTGGTCGCTCCGTTCCCGGACCAGCCCCAGAGCTGGCGGCCTCGGTCCCGCTGCACTGTATTTGACCAAAATCGCGAACGATTTTGAAATTCCCCTCAGACATTTTTTTTAGGTATGAAAAGTGGGACATGTCCGGGAAAAAGAGGACGTCTGGTCACCCTACCATATCAACCATTTGATGTTTCAGCGAGTGAGTGCTTGTTGCTATGATGCCTCTTTGCTCAGCAGGTGCGCTCGTTGTAAACTAACCAATCAGCGCACAGCTCATCTAAATATTCACAAGCATACCATAAAAGGAAGAAAACCTGTCCTTTTTTATTCTAGGGCTTTTAACCATGCTTGCATTAGGGCGCATAGAACAGCAAATATGCCATTTTCAGCCCAACCAATGTTACACACCCTATTCAGAGACCTTAAGGACAACCACCAAATACCCTATAGAATCATTGTATGACCCCTTTAAGGTTTACTTAAGGGGTCCAACCCAACAGGCCTCAGTTGATTAAATAGTTGAAGAATTCTATGTTTATTCTGGTAGAAATGTATATATATGAAGCTGAGTAGCTTAGGGAAATTATGTTTATGCCAAGATAGCACCCTGTCAAATACAAAAAAAATAAAAAATCAAGAATGGTGGTCAAAACAGTTTTGGCAGCACAAGAGGAATTCATTCACTATAAGAAAAATGGTATAAATGTAAAACCAGATCTGTATGGTTACATTTGTACGCTATGCTCGTATGGAAAAACAAATGTTTCAAATATGATTTGGGTCATAAAACCTTGTAGCTGTTGATAAGACAACTGATTCAAAATGCAAAATGTTTCCAGCCAAAAACAGCTGAGTCTTGTTTTCTTTTTCCTTAGATATAGGCCCTGACAGGGGTGTCCTGCTAATTTATTTCTTATATAAGTGGGAATGCTACAAAGAAGAATATAATACTGGTGTTTGAAATGCAAAATTAGATGGATCCAGCTTTTCAATTTCAAGAACACTGAATTTAACAAGATATACAGAACGAACATTTAGGACATAGTCAGCTAATCAGAACTGGTGAAGTGTTAGCCTACAGGCTATTAGCTCATTCTCTCGGAGTTAATTGAACAGCCGAGGAATTACTCTCTAACAGATTTGAATGTATGAATCTATTTTTTAACGGAACCACAATTACCTAGCTTTCTAAATCAAACGGTGGCACAGAACAGGCCTGCATGACTTTCCTCATCTGAGTCATTAGAGGATAAACACACTGCCTTTGAAATACACCTAAGCAGTCACTCCATTATACGACTGATTGTCCGCGTTTCAGAACGCACTGCAATGCAAAGTGCCAAGGTTAATATTTTACCATCATGTTTTCGTATTGTGCTCCTGGAAAAAAAAAGTTGACCCTTTTCTTTGAACTGCTGAAAATAGTGATATGATTTCCAATATATGTCATAACTGTCTGAGCACAAAACACCTTTGTGTGCTTATTTTTCTTAAAAAAAGAAATGGTACAAAAAAAATCCATCTGTTCCAAGTCTGAGTCATTCTCCGAGAGCTGAGAGCTCTGTGTGTAAAAGCAGGAAGTTGTATTGGGGAGGCTGGAATCTCTCCATTTGTGCAGCAGGCTTGGAGGGGAATTATTTAAGGGCTGTGACAGCTTTAAAGTTTGGAGTCAAGGTAAGGCGATAAAAAATGTTGAAGAAAGTGTTGGGAATATTAAGCAGTGGATGGCAGCCTGGAGTAGAGATGATGAAAGACAAAGGAAAGCATGAGGATGAGGAAAAAGACAGATAAGATATGAATGATTTTACATTGTATTTTTTTTTTCTTCTGCATGATGTAATCTAGTACTTATAATGTCTTGCTCTTGCAAGTTGTCGCAAAATAGGCCATTGCATCTTACATTCCTGCTATGTGGCTGTGTTTGTTGTTTCCTAAGGTCTGCTGGTCTTTTTTATTTGTTGAATTGAAGCTGTTATTCTTCTATATTGGCCATTGTTACTTTTGAGAGGTGCCAACATATAATCTTAGTCTCTGTGCACACAAAAATGTTTTTTAATAAGAGCTAAAACATTTTGTTTGTTAATGTAAACCACAACAGTGCATATTTTCTCTTGAAGTGAAAGGAATTTGAAAAAACATCCGGAATGGGAGGTTTTAAAACATCATGATCTCCGTTGTCGTTTACCAACGACATCGGAGATCTGCCCACTGGTGGAGTGGCATAGCAATATCATTTTTTAAGCATTTATTTTTGTGCTATGGAGACAGAGATTGCAGTTAAATGCTCTCATATCCATGTATAAACAGATACAAAAATATTCATATTGATTTAATTGATTTTTACTGTGTGCACAGGGCCTTAGTAGTTGTTAAATACATCAGATATTACTTAATAAATGTTTAAAATGCTTAACAGATTTCAAATGTTCCTAATGTTCTAGATGCCTTTGTTAAACCATGATGTGTGATAAACAAAAAACCTGCACCTCTGTCACCATTCAAAGACATTCCATGCATTAATCCTACTGGATTGTAATGTGTTGCCAAACCTTTTTTGTCTTTTTGTAAAAACAACTCCTAATAATTCACAATCTTCTGGTATAAACATTTTTTATTTAATTTGCAGAAAATAATTTATGGTGGAAAGTGCCTGTCAGGGTATTTGTACCCATGAACCACCATGGACTTTTATATCCTGAAGATGTTTTGAGCTAATTAGGCATCTAGAAGGTCCCTGATGACATTCGAAGATTAAAGTGGTTTGATTCAATTTTATGTATTCAAGCACATTCCTTGAAGCTTTTGCACGGTGCCATTGAAAATACACTAGAATACGTCAGAACCATCTTGTTGTGCCTCAGCTTGTCTACTGTCTTTGATACTAGATGTCATGCTCTGTGTCTGTTATGCTAATGTCAGAACTTATTAGGGCTTTCTGATTACAAAGTCTGTGGTTTATGATATATGAAACTTAAAGCTACTAAAATTACTTTTGTTTCCATTATGCTTTATGGTTTATGTTTATACTGTTGATTGCATAAATACTGTTATGTCCATGTCTTGTACGGTGTTGTATTGTTGTGAATATGTGCTGTGTAAAACTCAAAATCTTTATTAAAGTTCTAATTTTTTGGATAAAATTGGATTGTTTGGTATCATATAATGGTCTAAATTATAATATTGAAGATTTCTAAACTTAGTAATGTACTGATTAGGGTATTGGAACATGTTTGATTATGTTTTAAGGATTGAGTTAATAAGCACTCATCCAATAATTTTTGCTGTAATCATGATCCAGCTATCAGTAGCAATTTCTTTATTTTTTACTATAAAAAAGCAGCTGCAACATGTTTATGTTTGGGGATTTTTTTCTAAAAGTTTAGGTTAAAACTGCAAGAATCCCCTACTGGTCCTACACCCACGCTGGTTGGAAGATAAAATACAAACTAGCTTGGTTAATTCATACTAAGAAGGTATGAAATAAACGGTTGAGGCCAGATAAACAAACCTTGGATACCAAACCAGAGATACAGGCAGTCTAACCACCCCCCCCCCAAAAAAACAAAAAACGAGCAGGATGAATAAAAACTGAATTTGAGACAATATAAAGAATGGAAACAGGTGAGTTGTTTTAAAATATGGAGAGGTTTTGAAACAACAAGGAAAACTGATAGCATCTAAAATATATTGCAAAAAAAAAAAAAAAAGAAAAATAGTCATAGTTTGGAAACAACTAAAATAAAAACAATCCCTCACATAACAAACTCTGATATAGTGAAAGCTCCACTTTCATTCAACGATGCACTCCAAGCTGCAAACTGGTAGAAGAGATGAGCAGCAGCACCAACAACATCTCACGCACATCACTTGCCAGAGTCAATAAAATGTTTATCTACATCAACAGAGAAAAACTTTCTTACTTGCTGTAGCTCAATTGTTTTGTGCTTTAGCCAAATAAATGATGCCTTACGTCACAGAGGGAAATAAATAATTACAAGTTGATTTGTGTGTAGGTGCATACAAAACTTGCTGATTTTGCTTCCCTCCTTCTGAAACTAAATGCTTTGTTTTGCATGTTTAAGGGCTACTGTTTTATTTTCACTTTTTACCAGTTCACATGATATATGCAGACAACTGTGGCTTCCAGTACTCTCTCCCTTTCAATATGAATATCCTTATAAAAGGTAAAAAGTACCTCAAAATAAAAATATCACCAAGGAACGCTTGTGACGGGGGATGTGGGATTTCAGGGTTAGAGAGCTCTGCTCTGATGGATGTCAGTTCCTGCTTGGTTCCTCATGACTCAATCAACTCTTCCCAACAGAAACACGTCCATCATAGAAAGAATCCTTTATTGTGTTTCTGTAATTTCATCAATGCAACAAAACTTAAACCGTGCGGTGAAAGGTGGTAAAGCAGCTGGCATTGAATTCTATGCGGTGAGAGCGTTCACTGCTCCTCCCTCACCTCATGCTGCTTTGTGACATTTGCTCCAGGATAAACATTTAATCGTGAATGCGCATTATATATTTAAGCCCACGTCGTTTTTTTTATTTTTATTTTTTTTTTATAGTGGGGTAATACACTTGGAGCCTGTGTTGCCATACGAGGCATATATAAGACTTTTACATTTTTGCAGCTCCAGACATATTTGTTTTTTGTTTCAATATAGCTCTTTCAGCAGTTTGGGTTGCTGACCCCTGTTCTAGGTGAACATATGACCACACAGCAAAGGCTCCATAATGATTTTTATTTCTTTTCTCTCCTCTCCCCATTCATTCCTTATTTTCCTTCAAAAATACTGTTCACTCTCCTTATATTTACATGTTACTTTAAACCTTTAAAACTTGCATTCAACTTATTATAAAGTAACTTCTAACCTTAAACTTTCCAGAACAGAAGTTGCAAACTGTAGAGTTTCCACCAAGTTACCCAGATAACCTAAAAAATCAAATACCACAAAAGGCCTTGAAAGTAATCTGTAAATTCTAATAAACTATTCTTTAAGCACACAAAAGTAATCTCTGAATCCCAAAGCCAGTTTTATTCAATGATACCGCTTGTTTTATTACAAATAAATTTTAAATTAACATTTATGAATTAAGCAATATGTTTTACTGTCTTCTGTTCAAACCCCATAGAAAGAACAAATGTACAGACAGAAGCAGCGAGTAAACAAATCATTGCAAGAAGT